GCCTTGAAACCGACTGAAAAGGAAGAATTTAATAAAATCGAAACTCAAAAAGTAGATACATTAACAACTTTTTGAGGCATCACTTATGCTATTCCAACGAAATTTTTTTTTTTGAAATCAGTTAAAATAAATGGCTTTAATAATGAGAATATAATATGCCGGATATTATATTCTATTCTATTCTCATTATTAAAGCACGGAGTGGGGGGGGGGGGGGGGGTCTCGACAAAACGTGCGGAATAATTTACACTTTATCGAGTTGGGAATACACATAAACGGTCATGCCGTTTTAAATGTAATTTAGCTCAAAAACTATTGGGACTAGAAATATGTTATTTGGCGTGAGTACACACGGTACCGAAGCCAACAAAGTGGTAAAATAAAACTTTGCAAAAAGAATTTTTTAGGGTACCGCCCCTACATATAAAGTGGAGATGACATTTTTTCGTCGGATAGAACTTTTACAAATATTTGGAAGGTCGTTGTTCGATTGAGTAAACCATTTGTGTTTTACTAAGCTCTAAAGAGCTAATTTTCAGAGCAGATTTAAATTTTACCTATGGACAACTATCACATTTAAGTTGGCTTTACAAGTTGTCTACCGATCGTATTCGACTAGAAAATTTTGAACACCCCTCACCTCATTGGCACGGAACCCTCCGGCACGAAACCGCATCACTCGGCCGATTTTATCTGTCATTTTGCAATCGCATCCGGCATTTGTATAGCGCGTGTGTTGAGTCGGAGACAGATAGAGTGTGGGGAGTAGAGTAGAGTAGTGAGCGGTGGGTGTGGGTGTGTGCAGCGGCGGGCTGTGCCTGAAGTCCCCGCGCGCGATGTCGGCCAACCGCGGCAGCATGGCGGGCGCCGCCGCCGCGCTGGCCGCGCTGCGCACGCTCGCCGAGCTGAAGGTACGCCACTTCTTCGTATGTGCTTCGTCTCGCTCTATTCTTAGCGCCATGAAATAGTTATGTAAGGATTTTGTGTCTCGATAGTTTCGCATTCGTATGCTATTCCGTCGGTGTCCTACCGGCGTTCATCTGTAGCGCAATCACAACCGATCAATATCGCGATCGTGCCGCTCCGCACTCCGCTGGTGTACCGAAATCGAGAGTGTGAAACGCCATGATCGCGATGACGATCGGTCGAGATTGCATTCGTGAGGAAGGGGGGGGGGGGCAGGGCAGGTCGTGTTACACCTCCCCCTCCTCTACTACGTTTTAATTTTACCTTTGAATAAATTTATATTGACCGATCGCTTTATCCGTTTTCTATGTCCATCTCGGCTCAGGTTTTCGCACGAACTATTTGCCAACATTGAACATTCGAATGTAAATTTCGTACTGATATTTTTTGATTCCCGTATTAGAAGTCGATCGATCCGCACTAATATGTAAGTAGCGTGGGGCATATTTTGTGGTGCGCACAATTATTAGCTATTATGTATATAGTCAACTAGTTATGACCTCGACATAGCATACAGACTCAAACTCACCAATCTTTAGAATATGCAAAAATTACACATAACCAATTTAGTATGTGCCACGGGGATGTCGATATCTTTGCCGACGGTGAAGTTTAGAGGAGAGCTGATGAAATAGATAGCAAAAAATTGACATCTAATATATTGGCATTTGCATTATAATAATATAAATAAAAGTTGTTTTGTTTTGATTAATTTAACGTTAAGGCCTCGCGGCACATTAATATAAATAATTGAATGTTGTGTATATCCGTATATAGGTGCCCATAAACGTGTGTGCGTGTATCCCGCTGTGTGAGAACATGATCAGCGGCCAGTGCATGAAGGTGGGCGACGTGGTGCAGGCGCTCAACGGGCTCTCTATACAGGTCAGCGACACATCCACATGCATACGTTTCAATAATACCATAGAGCAGAGCCTAGTCGAGTGTAGGAATAGAATCGGTAAGTTCATTCGAGTTTCGCGAGCGAGTGAAGTCAGACTTAGGACGTTGTTCGCTTTATATGATGAATGAATGTTTAGGGGGGCAGCTGCCCCTCCTGTGCCCCCTCGCTGACGCCCTTGATAATCGGTGATTTCTCAATACAGGTTTATTATAAACTTACCGGGAATCTCACCACAATATTGTAAGCAAATGATTTTTGTTGATGAAATAAATAATTTTTCCTTTTTAGATAGAGAACACGGACATGGAGGGTCGCCTGATGATGGCGGACGCGCTCATATACGGTCAGGCGCTCTACAAGCCTGCGCTCGTTATAGACGTGGCCACACTCACGCGTGAGTAAAGTGTTACATATTTATGTGATTACGCCGAGCCCCGTTCCGTCCCACGTACCAAGGAAGTGTATGAAACCCCACACTTAGCAGAGCGGGGCGGGCTAGATGTAACTGATCCTTAACGTGTGCGACTGCAATGTCTTCCAATAAGCAGAGATGTACAAAATACCCTGTACAAAGTATCTGGAATACAAGATACAAAAAACCTTTAAATTAAGTATTTCAGATACCAGATACGAAATACTTTCGAGAAAAGTATTTGAAATACTAGATACAAAATAGGTATCTTATAGATACTTTTTATAAATACAAATACTTTTCTAAAAAAAGATTTGATTTTAAGTTTGTTTATTAAAGACCACAAAAACCTAAATCTTAGACCAGATGGTTCCAGGGACAAAGTGAATTTTTTAAGCATTTTTCATTAGAAACAATTTTTGTAAGCTTTTATTTAGTTTTCTGTGTTTGTACTCAAATCTTACAAGCTAAATTTCACCCACTTTTCCTCCGTTTTATTTGTTTGTCAATCACAATGTAACATATAAAAATGCAAATATTTAATACATCAGGTTTAAATTATTTTAATTTTTTTAGTTCCTTTTTAATAATATTTTTTTTCAATATAGCATTGTGAATGAAAAGTTGCTGAAATATAACAAGAATAATTATTTAAATTTAATTATAAAATTATTATTTATTTAAAAAGCTGGTTTTACGTACGACGTAAAATTACGGAGAACTGAAAATTCATTTTTTTCCTAGTGAGATGAAGAGAGTGGGTAAAAATAAATACAGTACTTGGTTTTTAAAATTAATGGCGTGACTTGTGACGAGGTGAATGTGCGATAGTATGTAACGGAACGTATATTAACTTTTTTTGCAGAACTACCGAAAATTATGCCCCTTTAATGTTTTAAGCTAATTTGAAAATTTTTTGTAGAAAATACTTAGCTGCTGTGGTTGATTATAGTACGTTGGTTTGTAGGAAAGGCTTATAATACGTAGATGTACCTAAAAAGACGTAGAGTTGGTATTGCTGGTACTGTTGGTAATGCGCCATTAGTTACCATCTGATCGGATAAATCCGGTCTCAACCGGATTTGAAGTATTAATTAAGTCTTTATCTATGAAATTTCCGTTTTTAATAAAATAAATGAAGCTTTATTTTCTTATTTCTATTAATCAAAGTAATCACCCATGCAATCAATACATTTTTGCCAACGCATTGGTAGCTTAATGATGCCTTCTTGAAGAAATCAGCTGGACGGGAGGCAACAAATACTTCAAAGGCATTTTGTACTGCCTCTCGGGAATTTATTTTTTTCCCGCTAAGACGTTATCCAAATTCTGGAAGAATTAGAAGTCTGTAGGCGCATGGTCTGTTAAGTACGGCGGATGACGGAGAACTTCAAACCCCAGCTCTTGTAGCTTGGGTACCGCCAATTGTGTAGTATGTGGTCGTGCAGGAGCAGTGGAACCGAACGATTGACAAAACCTGGTTGGAGTTGTGCCAGCTTCTCCGTCATTGTGTTCAGTTCTTCAAAATACACACAGTAAATCTGCAGTAATGCTCGTCCTGTTTGGTAAGAAGCTGTGATGAAATACATCCGCGTTGGACCACCAAACAGCAACCTTTTCGTAAACCAATAACGGGTGGTGCGTTCGTTTGTAGTGTTCGCTCTGCAAACGTTGTAATGTTGCGTGCCGCTTGTGCCGCTTTGCTGCCACGATGGCACACATACTCCATAATTACTCGAATTTTTAACTTATCCATGACGACGAAAAATATTCAAATCCATTGAAAACAAAACACTTACTATAAAACAAATGACGATTTTAGAAAAAATAATTTGATATTAGAATTATCAGCAAAAAAAAATAATTTGATTTTAAATGGCTAGTACAGCAGAACGGCAATTACATAGGTAAATACCTAATATTAAGACAGGACTCCGCCCATTTTTTTGTTGTTTCTCAATAAAGATCCCTTGAATTAAATGGTTACTTATTAAAGCAAAATCTACTATACGATTACATCACAGATTGTGTTGTATTTTTGAAAAATAAATGAGTATTAATTGACGATGTCAAAGAAATTATTTGAAGAATTTTTACTATTAACAAATTTATTTTTATGACGAATTAGTTGAAAAGTAATTATTTTCAATTTATGCAATGACAGCACTCGTTTCCGAACTACTGAAGATTTGTCAGTATTTTTTTGTATTATGCCTCATAATGTGAATATTGATTTTTTTTTCGCTCATGAATATGCAGTTGTCAAAAGATAGAAAAAGATTAACTGTCGAGTCAATAAAAGCAATATTGCTTTGCTCACGGGATATAATTGAAATTATTTGCCATGTATCGAATTTCACAGTGAAATTTCTTTAAAAATAAACTTTTTGAATGCTGTTGTTAGTGGAAAAAGTATAATGTGCAAAAAAAATAATCAAATTTAATAATGAGTGTAATTGATATACTGAGTTTTATTTATAGCATATAACCGGGTTTTTACATAAATCGTGATTTTTTATTGCTTGTAACTGGTTATTCGATTTCAAGCCCTATGCGCCATCTATCAATTTTTACTAGGGAGGGTGTATTACACCGGTATAACCGTACGTTCAGTTCTACGCATTTACTTTTTAAATGACACCAAACAATATTTGGATTCGAGTTATTTTTAACTAAATATTCATTGCGTTGATAATTGAACACTTTCTTTTTGTAAATATGTATGTTTTAGGCAAAGAATGTTTGGTGATATTTATAAAATGTAAGAAATTATCTTTTTATAAAGTATTTTATCAGAAAAAGTATTTAAAAGATACTAAGATACTAAACAAAAGTATTTAAATACAAGATACAAAATACTTCCTGAAAAAAGTATTTTAGATACAAGATGAAAATACGTATTTTGTATCGTGTATCTGTATTTCAAATACTTGTATCTAAGATAAGTCACATCTCTGTCAATAAGTTTTTCCTATACATATATGCCTATCATTTCTAAATTTTCATCACTAATCTTCCTTCAAATTATTAATAAAAAAATATAATGAAAAAAAATCCCGCCTGCTTGAAAACAAACTACATGAAAAGGCTGGAACGAGATACAAATTTTATGCAACAACATGCATAAGAAATTGAAAACTACTTTTTATTAATATGCTGAATTGTCAATTTATGCGAATGGATTTTGCGAAGTATGCTGATAAATAAAATAACAGTAACTACAGTATTGTTACGACTTAGGGTTCGGGGATAAACGAACCCTAAGTCGGGACACTATCGAAAAGTTCTAAAACAGCTATCCGTCCCTTTCTCGCCGACCCGATATATGCCTATATGCCAGGTAATTTCAATAGTGCGGTTCATTAGCGCATAACGCCATCTAGTAATACGTAGCCGAACCGCGTCGCTGCGTTCTGTAATAGTATCGAGTGTTTTAGGTCAACTATAGCTGGGCTAGTGATTATTGTTTGTATATCAGACGGTATCCTACTGGCGACGGGCGGAGGCGCGTTTGGATGTTTCACCAATAACGACAACCTCTGGAGCATCGTGCAGCAAGCGGGGGCTCACACAGGGGACAGAGCCTGGAGACTGCCGCTGTGGAACTACTACCACCGACAGATCACAGGTAACTATATACATACCTACCTCCGGAGCATCGTGCAGCGTACTGGGGCTCACACAGGAGACAGAGAGACAGAGACCATAGGTAAGGTTAGTATTTGGCAGATTTGATGGTTCTGTCATCTTATATAAAAATCTAATCTTACATTTCAGTTTAAACTAATATTTCTTTAGATAAAATATGGCTTTAACCAATGTAAGTTAATAAAGTGCAAAGGACTCTTGATTTTATTTTGCGAGGCCTCAGTCGCTTGTGAACCCTAGAACAAACTTACATATAAATACTACCTTTCCACGTGCTCGGTATAACGGCTAATACTATATTATATTTTGAACAGATGACCCGGCGGTAGATCTCCGCAATCAAGGGTCCGGAAAAGCCACTCCTTGTATCGGTGCCGCTTTCCTTCGGGTGAGTTTACTTAAAATACGGTAAATAGTTTATCTGACGACATCTGAAGTAGTTACATTTCATCTTCTGGTACACACAGTAACACGTGTTAACCTTACCGTCACTATGATACTTAGGCCAAATTAAAACAAAAATTGCAACCTGTTAATTGAATATAGACGAGAGAAAATATGTGTAATATGTAATCACAAAGGTTTATTGATATACAATCTTATGACATTAATATTTAAATAGTTTATTACGTTTTTCACAGATAACTCAGATATTGAAAATGTTAATTTATAAATTATGATTTTTAATTTGTGAGTCAGTCATGGGACAGAAAACGACACCAGGATCTATTACGTCATTGTTCAAAATGACTTTTGAAAAAATCGATTCAAAACGATCATGTCGGCATTGAATCTCAGTGTAATTATAAAAAAAAACGGTTTTTGATTATTCTTCACTTATAACATGAAATAATAATAATAATTAAAAGCAACTAATAACATTGATTCGGAGATCAATTATTTCAAGTATCAGTCATTTTCCGCCCGATTCACTTCAAAAGCTGCATCCGCTCAATATTTAATAATGTAGGAATAATGTTTGGTGATATAAGTGAAATGAGTTTCTAAATGAAATAGGAAAAACATATCTGAGACACGTATGAATCAATCAATCTTGTTTTGTATTTTTATACAAAAATGGAATCAATAAGATTTCTACACACGTCGAGTGAATCGGAATCGCTCTGCAGGTAGACTGATCTCGAACTACGAACGTACAAAAGTTTAGTTAAACTTTAATCGTCGGGAAGGAGTAGTGTTTGTTACAAATAAATAAAACATTTGCAACAATTAATTATCGCGTTTGAATTCGCCTCTTTAAGGACAAAGTTGTAATAGTTACATTAGTTGCATCTCACTGCAACAGCAAGGGCGGATCTGATACTCTGTTTTCGGTAAAAGAGAAACAGGTCCAGGCATAGAGTATTGTAGTTATTCAAATTTTTATTGGCAGTGCACTCTGTGGATAGATTTCTGACTACATAACTATATAAGGCTCTAAAGTATCGATACCAAAATCTCTGTATAGAGTGAGTAGTTGCATTGACTTATATCGTGTTCGTCAGAACTTCGTGTGCGGCGAGTGGGTGCACATGGACATAACGGGCGTGGGCAAGGTGTCGCACGCGGGCGCGCCGTACCTGGCGCCGCGCCGCATGTCGGGCCGCCCCGCGCGCACGCTCGCGCGAACGCTGGAACACATCGCCGACGCGTGCGCCAACGCCAACGCCAACGCCAACGCCACACCCAAACGCAAACCCGAATCCGACCAGAAAGACAGACAGTGACTGCGCTCCTAGTAAATCTTATACATTCCCGTATTCATAACTGCAGTTGACGACAGTTGCTATTGGATAAATAAATGTGTAAATGTGATTTTTCGAATACAAGTCCCTTTTTGCTTTGTAGTTAGTTACCTTTGCTGTTGTTTATATACTCAAACATCATACGCCCTTTGAATCAAGACTTTAATTAAAAGATAACAGGGCGATGCCAGACTGACTGATAATGCGACTCTGCGTTAGTCCGGCGATATCGAGGCCCGGATCTATTTACTTAACTGGAGCGGAAACTACGTATAGCGCCTTTCCTCTGTTTCCCCACATATTTTTATAGTGTATATTTTTTTTATTTCATTTAGGGATTTTGAAGCATGTCTGACCCATCATAGCCTATGTGTATGAAGAGATTTGTAAAGCTCGTTCGTTTTTTACTGTCCCCTGACACTGATACCCAGGCAAGGGCCCCACTTGGCCCCTTCCTCACTAGATCCGGGCTTGGTGAGACATCTCAAACATTTTTTTAATACTTTAACTCATTTTTTAAACGTCAGGTCATTTTAACATGAATCCATTAATTTTGACATCTTTCCTAGGCCTTACCTCTCAGCGAATTTTAGTTACCGACCACAAAGTTTTATACTCTTAGTATTCCAATACAATATTGTGTAGTGTAGGCATATTTTGTTTTGTATAAATGTAATTGTATAATTATTTGTTTGGCGATAAAATAATCATTCCGATTTGTCCACATTTTAGACCTATTCGTCCAGCGGCACTCTGCTCTCAGACAATAACGTTACTTGGTTGTCCACCACATTACAGAATTGCTCCCTCGCCTCATAAACATTTATTTACTCCATTGATGATGCTTACAGCATCTCTATTATTTAAACAATATCCTGAAATACATAGCTATCCTACCAACTCACAACACTCAACGCGTACAAACGGATTCTCGATTCATAAATTTCCTAATTTACCAGTCTTGTGACAAACTTCCCAATACCCTGAAGATATTAACCGCTTTACTAACTGCCCTTATAAAAACCCTCTAAATTATGTAAATTGCAGTTAGGTTAGATTACTAACAATAAAAAATAAAAGTATCACATACAACTCAGTAAAAATCAGTAATCTACGGTTACCTAATTTGACAAATTGTTAAATTATAAGTATTAGGTATATAAAATCACTGAAGTGCGCAATACAGTGAAATATGTATTTCTTTTACCAAATTTCCGCAATCAATTTTGAACGTTATAAAGGCGCTTGACATGTTGTGCACCTACCTTATCCGACGCACAGTATTAATTTATTTTTGAATATATTATATACCCTAACAGCCGGTTGCACTTTTAATTAGTTAACAGCGACGTTAACCATCCAAATTTGACGTCCATTAGAGCTTAAAGGTAACACTTTATCATATAAAATAGATCACTACTAGTGTCAAGTACCCTGTCGGAATAAGGATGTGTTCACATTTTAGTGGCCGTATATAGTATCGGTAAAATAATATCCATTAGTAATATTTTATACACCTCCTTTAAAGCCAGTTTAGTTAGAATACAAAAAGTAATAAAAATAGTTTAGCATATTCACATTTCCATGGGAATTGATTACTTTGGCCGATTACCAACCTTTATTTTTTCTTTTCAAAATATTGCTATTCAATAAAATAAAAAAAATCTGATCAACAGAAATATTTGATACTAGTAGTTAGGTACTAGTCTCTTTATTATTGTATTATCTATATTTCGTATCCAGCATTTGTTGGTCAACAACACGTCACGTTATACAAAAATGACAAATTTCATTCGTTCCATTTTAGTCTTTGAACCCTACAAACAATATTCAAAACATGAAAGTATATGTCTCATTCTTTTTTAAGATCGAAAGTAGTGTAAACGTAGGGCTTTTTCATAAAAATGGCACTTCTAAAGAACTAGTAGCTCACTATTTTCTATACGCAACACTACCAAGAGTTTCATTCCAACATGAGAGTTGAAATTGTGTTACAAACCCTAAGAATCTTTTTTATATGCGTCGACATTTGTACCTCAACGAGCACGCAGTAGGTATATAATAAAAAATTAATAAAGGACATGTTATTTTTTGGTTGATAGAAAAATACTGCATCCGTAATAAGAGGTTTTTATTGTACAACACGAATAGTCACAAATAGAAAATAAACATTAGCTCACTTTGTTGCTGCGGTTCACTGAAAATAACTAAGAGTATCGATAGTGACAAATAACCAGTTAGACGAATTATCTATTACCCCTGAAGTATTTCTATCAGGGGTAATACATATTCCAAATATTTCTACAATCTAAACTGATAAATTTAAACATCTTTATGTTCTACCCCCGAAGGAGATACTGCAGGGGGTATTGATTGACTAACCGCCATACTATTAATTAAAACTATACGTTTGGCCAAGCGCGGATCCAGGAGCCTCGCTTCGGTCGACATTTTGATATTTTTTGTTTGCAATAGATGGTTTATTTTTTACACGACCTAAATAAAACTGCCTCGACTTCGATTTTGTGACATTCGCCTCCACCCACCCCAGCCCAGTCCAGTCCTTGACGGCCGGACTCGCTTTCGCATTAATATAACAATCTACAGCATCGGTCAACGATTTCGACCGGTTGCGCTTGCCCTTCTTTAGTTAACTGGGCAGGGTATCGGTGACTACATTTCTCAACCCAAATGCTTAATGCAGAGTTAATTAAAACTCCTTTAATTAAGTACTTTGAGCTTTCACAATAGTATGGCTAATGTTAAAGTGATATTAAGTAATAGCAACACATCAGCGCAGACAAGACATACGTATCGTTATCGATATATATCCTGTAAAGTTTACGCATAGTATTGTTTGGTTGTAAGGGACGATGTAGGTCATTGACCACATCCTATATAACAAGAGGCGGTACTCCGCGCAAACGATACACAGTTCTATGGATATCGATACGTATCGCTTCGGCACTCGTGTAATTCTTTGGGTTGTTGTCGGGTTTATCGGCTGCCCCAGGAATAGACTATAATTTTATTCATAACATGTGCTACAGTAATTAAATCATAGGGACTTTTTATCCAAGATATTAAATAATAATAGATATTTCTTACGACTATCAAAAACATAAGTAAACTAAAGTGTTGAACAAAACATAAACCTCCATACAAAAACCTAACATGCCCTTTTAAAGAGTAAATTACAATGAGAATACTAATGTCTTGTAACATTCACTTATATTAAATGTTTATACATCATATTCATCACACACAATCATATTTAAATTAAAAAATATTATCAATCGTTATCCTCGAAACGAGCGAGACAGTTATCACGCTCACGGCGTTGGACACAGCTTACTGAATTAAAACATAAATAAATCAACTTATGTATACCTAGACACACAAATACATATTCTATTCATCATACAGAACTCAACATTTTCTGTGACGTCTGGTGTAGAGACAGTCACGTGCATAACACGCATCTATCTATATTAAGACCATAATATTTAGTTCCAACTAATTATGTACAAATGTTTATGATAAAAACAAAAACCAAAACAAGAAAAAACAAACTCGAATGAAAAAAAAAAACATCATGATCGAAATATTATAAAACTCTTGTGCCTATCTTTCTACTATATAATTGATAGAATATAAGCAATCGACTGACGTCCAAAGAACTCGTTATGGTCTCATATTTGTGATGCAATGATTTCAACACACGCTTTTATAATTAAAATTAACAAAATAAACAGGGTATTTGACACTATTGAAAATACAAAATTATACTGAAGACATTTATTGCAGTATTCAGAGACATTAATTAGTAAACACTACATGTTTTTTTAAATGTATGTACAGTGTTAAGATTTCAGGTAAGTTTACGCGCAAAATAATTTATTTTCGTAATAAAATATAATGATATTTTACTAATAGTGTCAACGGCTATAAATATAAATTTGGTAATCGGTAGTTCAGTTTCATAGTTTTATTATATGACTTTTAAAGGTCAACACTCACAAACACATTGACACTATTATACTTGAAAATACACGTATTTTGTACAATGACTTGAGAAAATGAATATTCAATTAGGTAGGTATTGCGACGGCAATCACATCATGCTGGCAATGGCAACGGAATATATGCGAAATTGATAAAACAGTTTTTAAGTTCAAAAGGAGATCGGACGTTAACATTGAATATACGCCTTCGTATTGTATCTGGACGGCGCTCTACGGTGTACGGTGCGGCGCAGTGTTTGCTCAAAAGATATTAATCCCTGTTGTGTAGTTTTAAGATTCACAAACATGACGCAATATATTACGGTTTAGAACTGATAACGTTATGATGTTTGTGTAAGGATTAAAAACTATTCGAGCTGAAAAACTCTACGCCGTGTCGCGCGCCCTGTTACTGGATTTCGCCCTAATATTTTCATCAGTATTCAAGGTCTCAAATTCATACATACCTATTCCGCTAACGGGACCGTATAAGGGCGATCGTTCAAATGTAAAGTGTAATTAAACGCGTCACAGATCCGTTTAGAAAGATTTATTTATTCAATGTCAATGTCAAATTCATAATTATAGTGTTCGCGTAGAAGAAAACAAGTATCACTAAGCTAAGAGTAATCTATACAAGTTTCGCTATTGTGTATTTATATAGGATTCGCTTTATACACTAGGAATTAATCTAGGTCACAAGAGAAAAAAAATGCGTTCGATAATAATGTTTGTTGCAGTATTGTGGCGCGACCGCTCGCTGCGTGGCCGCGTGCGCGCGCGCATCCGCGGACGGACGGACGCGACTCTCCTCTATATAACCAGAGACAATCGTCGACATACTCTCGAGTGCGTCCGTCTACACCTTTATATAACGTTTAAAATATACATATATACTTAACGTAAAATTAGCATTATCATTAATTAAGTTTTTATCACATGAATGAATATGAAATATTTATAAAAGCGACAATACGAGAGCGGACCGCTCGGGGGGAAATGAAACACCGATGCTTATTCACCTAGAAATGAAGAAACATTTATTTTCAGTATGTCTTTTGTATTAAATTTTATAACAGAACGAATTAAAGATGGGAAGAGAACAACAGAGCGGACCACTCGTCCGTTTAGCTATAGAATCGGCTCCACCGACGATAGAAATGTAATATTTATCGAGTCACAGATATTATATATAATCTAATCTATTCGTTCACTGAGTTAGTTCAGATTCAGACATTCATAATGGCCGTATAATGCACACGGGCGGCGCACGCCGTCACACGGACACTATATATTTTTTGGAGTTTTTTTTCTTTATAATTTTTAATCTTCACGTACTTTATAAATATCTCATACTTGAAAAAATTTAACATTAAAATGTACCGAGGGCTCGCCCCCCGCCGCCGCCCCGCCGCCGCGGCGACTCTTACTTCAGTTAACGGAATAGTATAATCTAAACGAGGCGAGGCGACGGCACCCGCGCCTCGCCTCGCCTCCACTGAAACGATGACAATATTTAATTTATCGCAAACACTAGAGAAATGCAGGTCCGATACGATGGTAAATTGTGTGTCATGAAACAAAATGTATATTTAAATTCTCTGCTTTTTACACACACACTGACCGCCACCTCACTTCGACGTCATCATGGTGACGAATTCTGAAAAAGAAAAAAAAAACAGGCATCAGTTATCTATCAGGGTCCACGGGCGAGGAGTCTCGAGGACCCTCGGGCGCGGCTAAGGATGTTACGTCAACACAGAAACCGTTAAACACAACGAAAATTCCGACAGAGAAAGAGATGCATCAATAGTAAACATAGGTACCGCTATTAGACGACCACTAGGTGCTCGGTTCGAGTGACGGTGATCGACACGGCGCCGAGCGCTCGCCCTCGCTCGAGACAGATGCAGAGAAAGAAAGAGAGAGGGAGAGAGAGTGAGCGTGAGAGACGGTGTGAGAGAGCCGGCCGCGCGCTCGCAAGTGGTAGGCGACACACACACACACAAGCAGGCGCTGCACACCGCCACATGCCACTACTGCATTAGACACGCATGCACCAGCTACGGGTGTGTCGGCGGGCGGATGCGACCCCCCACGGTCCACGGCAGGTGGGTGCGGTCGGACGGCATCGCATCCGCCCTCCCGCCGCGATCGCTACACCATACACACGAACAGGGTGCGGGGAGGCCCGACGAGACGTGAGCAGGGAGCACGCTCGGGGGAGAAGGGTGGGGGAGGGGGAGCAGCTACCGATCGAAGGGACGGTTAATAACGAGCAGCAAACCATTCAGATCAACACTGGCATGTACCTATTGGCGGCCCGCCCTCGAAGTAGGCCGTCGCGTTTCGCATCGCTACACACTACCGGGGGAAATCGTTTCGAGATCACAGCGCTACCGTGGAGTCTTTTCTTATGGTTAGTTACGAAACAAGGGCCAGTGTACCGCTAACGGCTGCCGTCGCCGCGAGCGAATATGATTTGGGCGAGTGCATGGAAGTCTGCAAGAGAGAGAACGCGCGTCACGCAACCGCACCCGAGCTCGTCGCCCCCGCGCCCCGGTTAGATACCACGCAACCGGCCTCCGAGGATGTCTTCTAAAAAGTTACAGCGAAACAAACGGTAGGAGAAAGGGTGCGAATACTAGGCAAATTTCCGACGAGGACACTTTGTTCGACTTTCCGTTGATGAACTTCTGTTAAGTTGCGCGACATGTTCCGTTCAGGGCGTAGGTGTGAAGGCGTGCGTGGCGACGAGCGGAGGGTGTACGTGTGGCGGTGTGTGTGTACGACTCCTTAGATAGTTGTGACATAACACTGAATCCATCATGCACAGCGGGGCAGCAAGCCACTTGCCAAGCGATAACAAACTGTGTATGTGTATTGTGACGATCATATGAGGAAACGTAACGATATATACTCGGAATTACTTTACGATATAATCAAGCTACTGGTGATAATTAAAATGATCTAAGTTATAGGCTCATGAATTGAAATCATCTAAATTTAAATTTAATTTTTGAGCAGTAATAAAATAGTCATACTATTTTTAACAAAAAAAAAAAATAATATTACGTCATTATTAATTAGCATTTAGGTAGAACAAAAAAGACGTAGCAGTCGGTGATCCGGACGTGAGATATATTAACCAAGCCGTGATGTTAGTGTGGAGACATTCACTGCATGCTGCGTCGACTCGAGTATGTACTGGGTATATTGCACCATTATCGACACTCGAGAGGATGGTAAACTCAAACAGTATGTACGGCGATCATGAAAAATTGGTGGTCTCGGCGAGCCGTCTGTATCATTAATGATATATTCACAGGAATCATTGTGTGACGATTCAACAAGTTCGGATTCTAGAAAATGTTCATAGTAGAAACAATATGAAGTTTTTTTTTATATTTAACGGTATCAATTTCATTCTCAAAATGTCTATGAAACCATAATGATATATGCAAGTGTTCATCATATCGTTTCAACTATGGTCTCAATAAACATTAGGAAATTCGCATTGAAATAAGTCTGAGATGTGCTTAGAGACAGTGCGCCAACGACCATCTCAGAACCAGTTATAGTCTGCTGCATATCGGGGTGGTGACGTAAGCGTGGTCTAGAAGCTTTTTAACGGTGTGCGTCTGCACCAAATGTGACCTTTGTAAAAATGTTGTCTCATCAATGATTACTCTATAATACTTTAGAAACAGTCAGCTAACGAAAATCAAGATACGCTGATATCTAGCAGTAAACTCGTTTTCTGGAGGATCGTCTATCGCGCACGGTATCCGTCCGTCAGTGAGAGCAAGCACTACACCGGTAGTGTATGGGAGTGGGTGTGTGTGCGCGTGTGCTTGTGCGAGACTCACCCTCGTAATTGACCTGTCCGTCGCCGTCGATGTCGGCCTCGCGGATCATCTCGTCCACCTCCTCGTCGGTGAGCTTCTCCCCGAGGTTGGTCATCACGTGGCGCAGCTCCGCGGCCGATATGAACCCGTTGCCGTCCTTGTCGAACACACGGAACGCCTCGCGGATCTCCTCCTCGCTGTCGGTGTCCTTCATCTTGCGCGCCATCATCGTCAGGAACTCGGGGAAGTCTATCGTGCCGTTTCCTGTAATGATCATCATATATATTAGCGACCGTTACCCTATATATTGGTTCTTCGATGAAATTCATCAAAGATGTTTTTTCAATTTTAGAACCCAACTAAAATGTGTTATGTAGTTTTGATATGAACAGGATTTTTTAGAGTAACTACATAGTAACAAATGAATACAGTGTACGCCGCTTTTGTTATCTTTGCAATTCGTTCAGTCGTAAAGCTTCCTAATACAAGACTATATTGGAATAGATTTACGGGACTTACGAGAAAACATGATGCGAGTACGCGTATAATTGCAATTACCCATTAAAGTCCCATAAAATACACAGAAGTTGAAATAATCCAGGAATGCTTGTTTTCCTTCCGCCGATAAATTGCGTATTCCAAGAATTTTAATTAAATATGATGGGAGCACTTTGGTTTGCAGAACAGAATTTTCGATAAGTTTCCGAATCGGGTACTGACGGATTATAATAAAAATTTGTTACATCAACAACTTGTGGTTTGCTGCAACTCCAGATTTTGTTGGATTTTATTGAAGAAGAAGACGGGAAGTGCATATAAATTTATTATGTGATATAAAGTTTAGCGTTAAGAGACACTACAACTATTGTCGCGTGATATACTTCCCCCATACTCTATTTTTAACAATTATCATGCTAATACACATTGCTAAACTTCAATGCTTACTGTATAACTTGCGTAAAATAAAGGAATTATGTAAATTAATCCACGCACGGACTCATATTTATATCAGCATAATAATATCCTATTACCGGGCATCGCCTTCACAGATGTACTACGAATTTTAGTGTCTGTGTTTCTGCCATTTCGAATAGCAATAGAATTTATTGTAGTCTCTCATCTATTCCTGAAATTTTCAATTTCTTCTTCATCGATTCTCATGATACTAATTTATTCTCACAATCTCATGATATAATAATGGCAACATAATGTATTTCCGAATTAAGTCAAGAAGGTGAATGATCCAGAGGTGTCGCTAAATAAGTGAAAGTTAAGTATGGCGCCTCTGATGCTGGGTTAAACCTTTCAGAGGTAGATTGCGTAGGCACTATTTATATTGCTGCGAAACGTTGAGCTTTAGAGAATGCAGACCAGATGATGTTCCCTCACGCCACGCTGAGATGTTCGGTTTTAAGATAGTAGAATAGTTATTTTACATCGGACAGAAATACAAAATTTCTTTAATAGTAACTCCAGAAATATCACAGTGGATTGTATTATCGTGTCGCAGTACAATAAGTATTATGTCAAATGTTGGAAATAAGAAACGCTCGTTCAACAAATGTCCGAACATAAATATCTCCGAAGGACATCATCATTATAACAACAATAGATATAATAGCGTATTCAGGTATGACAGAATATCGTTTAAAGTTAACGGCGTTATTGTATGGCGCGTTCGTAGTGCGTATACGAGCCATGCAAAACGCAAGCGGGATTAACAATAGCCGGAATCACCTTGAACCTGGTTCTCAGCGCGCGTTTGGTTGTTTGTTTTTGTGCCTTTACCAGCAGCCACAGATGCTTCGACGAACGATACATTCTCAGAATACAAAGTTAGTGAGACATAACCCATATTAATACGTCATCACCTACCGCCGTCCATCATTTTGTTTTACTTGGCATAATTTATGGAAACGGAGAGGCGAAACACGTTGGTGAATTTGAGGTTAATAACATAAATACAGCTAATTTGTCTCATAATAGATGATTAGATTAACTCGATTGTATTTACACCAATATTAAGGTAAACGGTATTTATTAGGAGTGTATTACTCCGAGTAGGAAGGGCGTGCACGCACGACAGTTGCGGTTACACGGAACGGCTTCCCCGTACCCCAAAGTAGGCCTGTCTCGATCGATACCGTGCTCACGTTGTTGCCAAGCAGCTCGACACGCCCGTCCACAGCTTGGCATGCCCGCTTATAGGTAGTTTGCATTGGCCACAAAACAGAACTTTTACATCGCAATAAACGTCGTATAATTTTCATCGAGGTTGGCGCTGCACTAATTTACTTGACACAGTCTAGACTTTCGTTTGAATTTATAGTGACTTTTATTAACTAGCGGTGGTTACTGGATTCCTGTTTTTATTAGGTACTCTAAAGTTCTAGGTCCTAGTACAAAGAATAGGACGCATTTGGTTAACTACATATTATACAAAAAAAAAATAGAAACGATTCATTCAACAGTAAAGTGAATCGGAGTCGCAATTAAGTGGCAGCGGGTGGTCCAATCAAATGTCCAATCTACAGCAATCATGTAAACACGCCACCGGAGTTTCAGGGAAAGTGGTATATATGCATGTGTTGTATATAGGCACACGATTCTACATAGCTTTAGGTCTTTTAAATATTTTCATAGCTGATGCTAACGTAAGGTAGTGAGAGTTGGGTATTTCAGGGAAAATATGCAAGTAGAATAAACGCTGTCGAGATACGTTGTTATGTAGAATTTGCGGAATTGGTGTCGGTGTAAAATCAACAGAAGCAAGCGCCGCTAGTTCGGACATGTGAAAAGAATACCGGACGAAAGGTTGACAAAACTGATATTACAACGCAAAAGTGGAAGGATGCAGAAGTCGCGGAAGTTAACGATACATTTTTCTCAATCAAATCTGCTTTTAGAAGGTGTTGTCAGAAGCTATAAAAACTGTTGAGTATATATTAAAAGAGTAATGAAAGTCAAGGAGGTGAAACATGTATGTAATATCAGGTCCATGTCTTGTTTTGTGGCGCTTGGTCCTCTCTGCCTACCACGCAAAGGGTCTTTCCTTGCATAAAGATGGATGTGGATAAATATATACTTTCATTGCTTGTATTGGAAATGTTTAAACAATGGGCATGCTTGTTAAGAGAGTAATGAGAATTATTAATAATAAGACTTGTTAATATTTTCCCCTTTGTCGAAATATAGCCGTAGCAAGCGGATATTCTAATAAATGAAAGTTGAAAAATAATTCGGTTACACGTCAGTAATTATTTAGTTAAGTAATTATTTCAAATCTCTAAAAATACTTCTCTAGATTATTGAAGTAAAAAATTTATAAAAAAAAGTTTCATTTAAAAAGGCAACAAAGTCGTCACAAAGCAGCAGTTGCGTGTAAGCCAAGTGGCTAATTAGGTCAGGCTGTATTCAGCACACGGTTTCAAGCGATGTTAATGTAATTCAGGTGAAGCGAAGAAGTCTTACAACAAACCAGTGAGACAGTTCTATCCAATATGGCGTCAGCTTGCTACACAACCGATTAATATCAAAATATATTAATAAGACATTCTTCACGTGCCGGTTTTGAACATAGATATTTTTACAAAGTATACTTAAGTAACAACAAGCCGACTTCAGTTCAAATAATGTAGTTGGAATGTATATATTTATCTTGAAATAACAAACTAAAACACACATGGGGACATAGGTATGAAATTAAATAGAATTGCCGAGAGCGCAACAATGCGGAAGATGCATTTAGATATTGTCAAAGCGAAGAGCACTGGTATTAGTGTGCGGGGTTAGTGCACGCGTTATGCGGCCGATACTCTTCAAGTTTAATACCAGCACTCTTCAACAGCTCACTGCTATTTCGAAGGAAGCGCCAGATATACGTTATAACTTAAATATGTTGATATTGCAAATGCATGTTATGATACAATCATAATGCATCATTTTTATATAAAACGAGGCGATGCTCAAAGACATGGAAAAAACTTGGATACAAATATTGCAAATTTGCGACAAACACGCTGGCAGAATGCCAGGCGAATATGCAGATTCATTTTCAATTTACTACCATTTCAGATAAGATTTTGTATTCAGTTACGTTTCTGATAAGCCCTGATGTCTGTAGAACGTTTGATTCTTGTTGTTGATATAAGGTTTTCAGGCTATAATGATCAAGAGAATGACTGTCAATAGATTTGGCTTAGAAAATAGGACAGGAAACTAAATCAGTGTGTGATTCAGAGTGAGAAAGGGCACCAAGCTTACAATTAGGACGCGATGGGTCAGCTATGCATAGACACCGCAGCCGCAGGTGTTTGGCGGCCGACCAACAATCGTGCCTATTAGATAGCCAGTTTTAATCCTCTAAAAGGCCGGACAGTCTCGAGTGGCAATACTATCCAACTGTTTAGTAACACATTTACACGTGAAGTGGTTAATAAAACTGTGATATAAAACAGGCGATTAGTCAAGCTGCGGAAACTTTCCGCTAAATCTTCTAAAACAAAACACCCAAATAACGTCGTTGTTGATTTACGATGAAATCTATTATCTGCCATCTTGTCAGAATTTAATTAGCGTGATAAGAGCCAGAAGCGACCACATTATTTCTACTCAGGCTAATGCTATGTTATCATCAATTAGGATAAATGATATCTTACCGATCCAAACAGTTGCGACTTACTTATAAATGTCTACCAAACTTATTGACAAAAGACAAAACAGAGCGAGAAAGAAAACACGAGGAAAACAAGTAATCTCTCTTGGAATCATCCCGAGAAGGACAGTAAATGACAGTGGACAGGCGCGTACTACATAATAATGCGACGTGAAAGGTCACTCTGCTGATACACGACTGTAGTCATTGTTCTTTTCAGAGGTCGTCGAGAACTTTTTATATATTCGAAGTAGAAAAAAATGTCTTCAGTTCTCTTTTTCAATATGCTGAAGAATATGTAGTCAATTCGATCTGTATTAATGAACTTAGAAATTTATTTTCTTATATACAGCTGCCTGCTTAAGTTGATAGGTCTATTAATCAGATATCTTTGTTGTGAACTCATCTATTGAGTCATGGTGTATCATCGCCAGTTTTACACGTATGGCACATGATAATTGACTAATGAATCATTTTAAAATTATAGCCATTGCATCCATTTATTATATTGAAATGAATGCCCCCGCCCGTCAATTACTCTATCGACCACGTATTCCTAGCAAATTATTGCTGTTCCAGTATACGGTTATTATCGTATTGTAGTTCCCAGAGAACGATCTTTCACGGCATGGGGCGTCGCGATCAGTTCCGAGTCGATCGATGGCAGAGTTTCTTGACCGGCTTGTAACCTATTTTTATTGTGTTCCCGGATTAGAAGCGTAAACAAGCGCATGCGTTGTGCTAGCGGACATCTCTTACGGTCATAAATAATGACGTATCACAACACGATACACGGGTGGCATCTTGATTAACGTTGCACCCACCAGCTTGCACTGATTGCTCGCTATTAAATATAGGTCAGTAGTTCGATTGACGTTTGAACCTGTCTCATTGATCGTGATGTCAATGCATACTCGTAGTAAATGTTTTAGTAACGCATTAATCAAAAAGTAAATATAATAGAATTTTGAACTCCATCAAATGTTCTGATCGATTATGTATGTAAATACTTATGACGTGTTGTTTAAGGTTGGAGGTTAATTTGAGTACAATCAAAGCTTGAAACGCACCACAATCTAGTAGGTAATTGGTCGTTTGCCTCAGCGCTAATCGTTTCTGATGGTCTACGGATATAGCCACCTTCGCTATTTAGACAAATGTAGATAATATCTAGGATTACATAAGATTATACGTTCGGCTCGTCCCGTACGTCGGCGGCAGCTTAACGCTCATAAATCTGAATAGTAAACGAGTTCGATGAAAATCCGTGGATTGCTAAGATTAGTAGGACGTGCTTGGGGATATTTATTCTGGCTTGTTCAGACTAGGCAGCCGATAGATTGCGACGTTTGTCTACAAATTGATCGCGGGGGCTGGGGCGACCAGCTGACGGGAAGGGAGGTCGATAACGCTTCCCAAATTTTATACGTCCTCGGAGTATGGATAGAGACACTTAGTTGTTATATGCACAGTGTCCCATCCAATAGAAACTTGCCGGCCAGCTCTGTGTGAAGGTAACTACCGCGCCTCGTGCATCTTTCATTGACCTCTCTTGACATATCAACGAATTATATACTCTTGGGAGCCTCTCTGTCAACTGATTATATTTCAATGTTTAATCTACCCCTTCGAAAATATAGCTGGCGAAGTTTTCATTACATTTTCATTTTCATTACATTCCAATTCACTAAGACGCCTCCAAAGTCGTCGATTTGGAAAGCTCACAGTTTGACCGGGCAGGCGCCGGCGCCGTTAATGTCAGTACTTTCCTCGATTTGTTCGTCATAATGAGTAAGTTTGGCCAATTATACGATATCGAAATTTGTGTTAGTCTAATTGCCGTATTCTCCCGTATAAGTTTAGTTTCGGAATTGACACAGTTAAAACAGCACTTCAGCGGCGCTATACGAAGATTGTGTTCCAGTCGTCAAACGTTGGACAATTCTAGACGAATTCTAATTGGTCGAACCAACGCCTGAAAATCGGAACACGGGGTTCGTATCGTAACGCGGTAAGGTCTATAAAACAAACTTTCAAGACCGTGAGAGGTCAATGAGAGGTCAGATAACCGTATACGCACGTACGTCATTGGCTCTGTGATTCGCTACAATTTAAAATTAAAATTATAATTCGTAAAAAAATAACAGTGATACTTGAAAAAAATAAATATTAGGGTTTAATAAACCAGGATAAATGTTATCTTTGCAAAATTCTAAGGATAAATAGTGCTATAACTGAAAATTGGTGATATATTCAAGCTACGTGACATTGCAAGCAAATGATGGTGCAAGTGTCGTTCCGTGATTTAACGAACTACTACTCAACAAACAAATAAATAAAGCAATGTTTTTTTTTTGTGAATTTACTAACAAAAATCTACAATAACCAAATTAAAAAAGAAGAATAAAGGATCTTTTTTATTGAATTACCTACGAAGCGAAAATAAATTATCGGTAAGGCAGTTTTGTCGGTGAAGCAGTTCAGATGGTTAAGTCGAACTTAACTACATCTACAGTATCTGATTCATAGTACAGGTCAGTGTACCGACAAGCTATATTGAAAATTCGTCATCACTATAGAGAGCCGTTTGGCCGAGACTGTTAACGCAGTGAGTCTCAACTACTGAACGTCAGATCGATCCTCGGTATCGAGAAGATTTTTGCAATTAATTTATGAATCTTAACAACAAAAATGACCAAAATGTGTTCTCATTGTAATAAAAATATAATGAATAGAGAATTGTTGAGTTGCTTAAATTGTAGTAAGATATTTCATATAGACTGTGTAAATGTATCAGAAAAAATATTCTATTTAATGAAAGACAGGAATGCATGGAATTGTTTGACCTGTAAGGAGGCAATTGATGACTTAAATAATAAACCGTCTGCTATAATTAAAACAACATCGAATCATGACAATTTTGTGACTCAGCGTAATAAATATAAAATAAATATTTCAACAGATAACTCTTTCGAGTCATTACACTCGGATGAATCAGATGAGGAATGCATTTCTTTGAAAAGTGGTCATAGCTTAAATCATAGTCAAACTGAAGTGGTTGAAGGATTAAAGAAGAAAATTTATACCTTACATAATAAACTAGAAATAGCTGAACGTAATATAAAGGAACTTTTAGTTGAAAACAGTACACTGAAGAAACAAATAATCAATCATGAAAGACAATTGCAGGGTACCAGTAATGAGGAAAACTCAATTTTATTAAACTCTTTAGCTACAGAAGATATTAGAAGCAATACGGAACAAATTAATCAAAAAATTGATGGGGGATGCGAAAAACCTCGTGAGTCGAAGACACCTTGCGTGCGTGCCTCAACATCGAACTTAAATTTAAGCGGAAATTATCAAGCCTTAGAGGGATTTAAGCGGCAAATTTTAATATTGGGAAATCAAGATGGTAAAGGAATAAGCAGACTGTTACAAAACTTAGTTGGAAGTCAATTCAAAGTAACGTCAATAATTAAACCCAATGCGCCATTAAGTGAAATTTTGAAGTCATCGCACTCTTTTTGTAAGGATTTTTCTGACTCTGATTTTGTCATAGTATTAGGTGGATCTGATGACTGTGATCCTCTTAGTTGTCGATCTTGTTTGTACTATTATTTGTCATTACTCTCTAATACGAACGTTTTGGTTGGTGAAATTTATAATAATAGATATGTAAATGTTAAAAAACTAAATGATATTTTGCGATTCGCTTGTACCAGATTTAATCATACTTCTTTTGTATCATTGTATCCTGATTATTATACACGAAATAGAAAGTCACTAATAAGTAGAATAATGTTAAGAGAAGTATTAAGCTTAGACTATAAAACTAAATATGCACAATATATGAAAAATAAATCAAAAACCAAATTTCGCAATAACCAAACCGATATAAATGACAAAAAATTGAATGATAAAATACAAAAACCCATCACATATTATTTTAAGAATACTAAAAACTCAAATGTACTTCTAAATAAAATACCAAAGAAAAATGTACAAAGTACTATTCCAAAACTATTCAATAAAATGGAACAAAAAAACAAAAACAAATATGATGGTAAAAATCAAGGGAAAAATCAAATAAATGATGATTCGGTGTTATTTCGTAGACAATGATAACTTGAATAAATGTACTTTGAATATATTGCATCTCAATGTACAAAGTGTAAAAGCTAAGTTAGATCAATTAGAAATATTACTAAATCAGGAGGATCCACACGTGTGTTGTTTGAGCGAGACGTTTTTAAAAGTAGTGGAAGTTGAAACTCTTAAATTGGAAGGTTTCATTAAGGCAGCGCACTTCTGTAGGAGTAGAATGAGTAGAGGAGGTGTTGCAATTTATGTCAAAAATACAGTTAATTTTCGAGAGCTACCTCTTATATCCAAAATGTCTATCGAAGTTCACTTCGAGTGTTGTGGCATAATATTAAATGATTTAAATTACTTAATAATTTGTGTATATAGAACGCCGACAAGTTGCTTAGACACTTTCATGGTCAATATGGAATTACTACTACGTAAAATGATTACAAGAGCTAGGAATAAATTTACTAGAATTTTCATTTTGGGCGATTTCAACGTGGATATCCTTGTGGACAATAATAAAAAAAATACCATAGTAAATATGTTCAGATTATTTAAATTGTATCCGTCAATTACAGTCCCTACAAGAATCACGTCTCACTCTGCAACGTGTATAGATAATATATACACAAATTGCAAGCAATACAAAACAGTTGTTAAAGATCTTGGAGTATCTGACCACACTTATCAGATCATATCTGTTTCAACTAATATAAATTTTTGTCAACCTTATTGGTTTATTTACAAAAGATGTCCAGAGGAGTTTGGTGAGGTGTTTGCTAAATATATTTCACAAATAAATTTCAATGAGATTTTGAGTCTAAACAGTGTTAATGAAGCTTACAATGAATTCATAAAAATTTTTCGCCTTATCTATGACCTTTGTGTTCCTCTAAAAAAACAAAAAATTACACTCAAACGTTCACATGAATGGAAGACCAAGGGTATTATATCTTCCTGTAAAAATAAACGAAACATGTATTTATTGACAAAAAGAACAAATAATATTGAAGTTAGAAGAAGGTATAAAACTTATTGTAAAATACTCAAGTCAGTAACAAAAAGATCAAAGCGTATAACTAACATCAACTATATACAACAAAACTGTAATAAAAGTCGAGCCATATGGCAAGTTATTAAACGAAATACAACACAAACAAATCGTGTTAAGGAAACAGTTGACTTAATTAAAAAAGACGAAAAAATCATAAGTAATTCAATTGACATTGCTAAAGAATTTAATATTTTTTATACGAACACCTCAATTAATTTATCAGCTGACATTTCATATAGACCACTTACACATTCGAATTTAAATAGCATATTTTTGACTCCTGTAAATGAGCAAGAAATAATAAAAATAGTTAAATGTTTTAAAAATAAAAAAAGCACGGGTCATGACGATATACCAATGTCAATAATAAAGACAAGTATTCCATTTGTAGCTGAACCCCTTGTTCACATCATTAATTTGACTCTAGAAACAGGAGAATTCCCAGATGATCTGAAAAAGGGCTTGGTTAAGCCTGTACATAAAAGAGACTCCAAGACTGAAATGGGTAACTACAGGCCCATCGTACTATTATCTAATTTTGCTAAGTTATTTGAAAGGGTTATTTATAGTAGAATAATGTCGTTTCTTGAGAGGCATAGCATATTGAATTCTAATCAATACGGGTTTCAAAAGCGAAAAAATACCACATTAGCGATTTTTAAAATACTAAAACAAATTTGGACTGAGGTAAATAATAAAAATACATGTATTGGTCTATTTTTAGACCTTTCCAAAGCATTTGACTGTGTTATGCCCAATATCCTTTTATCGCAATTAGAACATGTCGGAATTCGAGGTAATGCTCATAAATTACTACAATCTTATTTAAAAAACCGATGTCAAGCTACAGTTCTCAACACTTTTAATAAAAAAACAAAAGTAATGACTATAGTTCAGTCTGACTTTGAAAATAATAAAATAGGAGTCCCACAAGGCAGCGTTTTGGGACCTTTATTGTTTTTGATATATATAAACGAATTACCATTACTAGTTAGGCACTTATGTGTTATGTTTGCTGATGATGCTACAATATTTATACCGAAAGATAGACTAACTGACACGGAATTTAATATTCAAATTTGCAACACCCTAAAAACTGTGATGATTTGGTTATCGACTCTCAATCTAAAAGTGAACTTGGATAAAACAAAGATTCTGCAATTTAGAAATTATAAAAAAGTTGTGCAAGATTTGGGTATAGAAATTGACAATAAGAAAATAGAAGAAGCAGTAGAAATAAATTTTTTGGGTGTTACTATCGATCCCAATTTGAATTGGAAGTCTCATATTATTAAAATTAACAAAAAAATCTCAGCAAAATGTTATGTATTATCAATATTGACGAATGTATCTTCTACTGACGTTACAAGAAACGTATATTATGGTTATGTATATCCACTCTTGACATATGGGATAATATTTTGGGGAAACTCTGTTAATGTTAATTCTACGTTTATGTTACAAAAAAAATGTTTAAGAATCATTTATAAAATTCATTGTATGGAATCAATACGACCTATTTATAAAAAATATAAATATTTAACTTTGACATGCATATATATATTAGAAATTTGTGTTTTTGTTAAGAATCATAGTGAGTACTTTATCGAAAAGCAAATGACAAAAACTAACATTCGATCGCAACATAAGCATGACATATGTACTATCTCATCCTCTAGTTATATACTTGACAAAAGCACTTATGTTGCTGGAGTCAAAATATTTAATAAACTGCCCCTAAGATTAAAAAGTATTAATGGAAATGTGTTTAAAATACGATTAAGGGAGTGGTTGTTGGATAAATGTTTTTATAATTTGAATGAATATTGGTGTTATGTAAATGAATAACTATTATTGTATGTCCGAAATGGGCAGCTGTTGGAACTGACTCGTTTATGTAACATCTACTGTACACAGTTTGACAATAAAATTATTATTATTATTATTATTATTATTATTAATGAAACTTTTTAGTTGCAACTAATGCTTCCGCAAAATCTGTCACTAGCGCCAACTCCGACGCGGCGTCCACGTGGAGAAAAAAATATTGGAACCTACCGCGATCTCACCACAAATAAAACTTCGTTTGTTTGGACGAAAATAAATTGCCCGACGTATGTCGACAAGTGTAGCTCTTTTTTATTTTACCCGATGAAGTCCATACAATAAATGACCTTAACACAATGCAACAGACGACATATCCGCTTGTCTGGGCATGTCAGATTTATGCGTTACTGATGCGACGAGACACCACTGATGTGGAAAGAAGATAAATTATAGAATAATTTTCTTTTAGACAATATTTTCTTGATATAGATGTAAAGTTAATTTAATCTCAATCAGTGTTCGGTAACAATCATAGTACATCTAGTTGTGAAGGGCGAGTGCATTCGAATTGTAAACAATTTGGTGTACTACCGGTGGTATGTTAAAATAATTACATCGAGCCGTGTAGGAGGAGGCAGGCGACCGTCGTCGTGGCAGCTGATGGAAACTTGCCCAACCTAATATTTATTGTTTCAAATTGTATGAAATTGCACAACAAACACTGGACTTTAATACGTACGGGTACAATGGAAATAATGATCACAGCTCAACCTATTGAGAATATTAATAATGAGCTCTAAAATGAAAAAAGACATTATTATTACATACTAGTATCATATCGTAGCGTTTAAACGTCAAGTACCTACTGCTAGTGTATATGAATCAACATAATATGTATTATTGTATTTGTATAATTTTGCATTCACAATGCTATACTGGAATATAAACTTAATGAAATAATACATAATCAATTTAACATAATATATTAAACAACGTTTATTATTACCATTTCTAATATTGACTTTCAAACTTTACAACATTTTAAGGCTTAATATCATTAAAGTTTGAACACATTTGATGCTTTTTAAGATTTCACAAGGCTTTATTTCAACGACTCTATACAACAGTTTGTTTTGTGTAGGAGGGTCTACAACCAGCCGAACCATTTAGTAGTTTCCTGGAAATCAGATCCAGTCTAGTGGCCAACAAGACCAAGACGAAATTGGAGCGAAACCATGCGAACAATAACTAGAAATCGCCGCAGGAATATCACAGACAGTTGGCTCGTTTTATAATAAAATTTCCACTTTATTGAACTAGACTAGGCAAAACGAGAAAGCTACCACTGTCTACTCTCTATCTGCATTTGAAATTGAATCGGTGAATTGTTATTCGACCTGATATAAAGTTGATGATTATTTTAAGGATCGCCATGCATGGAATTATTAGCCTTCGCTTTGTTCTATAACGATTAATATGACATGTAAAACCTTTGACGTACCTGACCTGACTTTGAAAGTTGTATTTATCATTATGATAATACATATTATTTCGGTAATGGCATGATTTACTTATGATAAAGCCGGTACGTTTCTTTCACTTGTTCTTCTTGTCAGCTAAAAGTCGTCCTGAACAAGTGGTAGGGGAAAAAAATTTTTCAGACAATTCTATAGTTGCTCGTAATATGCTTACTTGAATAAAGATATTTTCATTTCATTTCACCATGCGATAAGTGCTTTAGACAGTTATTTGTAATGAAAATTCTTTCAGCACTCAAGAGAACCATCGTAGGAACGCAAATATAATATTCCCAAGAGTCTGAACAATGCCAGTCGGGTAGGAAATATCAGTTGGCATTTAAACATATTTGGTGTAATGTAAATATAGCGATGATATGAGCAGGACGTTATTTTATCGGCGGCTGCTATTTCCCGTTGCGCGAGTGACTAATTAATTCGCCACACTAGTGTCGGGTGTCGGCGGGTGTACCGGCGGGTGTACGGCCCGACCGGATATATCAATATGGCATTGTTGTCCACAATTGCAATCGTTAGCGGACGACACCAACACGTTACATCGTCCCATCGGATTTATCTTGGTACTAATTTATTTTCATGATGTTGCTCCTTTTGTATAAAATAGTTTACTTTAAAGACGAAATTCAGTAATGCCGTTCCATAAATAGGCATCCAAAACATGACGACCATATTTGTTGTTTGCAAATCATCGAAGAGTGTTGGAAACACAAGGTGGCCCAGTGGTCGACTTGGCAAAACATACAGTCGCGAACGGTACTCGAGACGAATTTCAATACCATATAAACTAATTGTATACCTACCCTCATTAACGTTTAAAGTATTTTAAACTTTCAATTTTTATTTGACTACAATTGAGAAACGTTCATTTTTGACAATGTGCCTGATTGGGATGGGATGTTTTTCAAGTAATTTTGTAAGGTATAGTCGAATACTATTATTTACAGAAACCTACATTTCTAATTTTCGAATTCTATCTCCAAAGGGACTAACAATAATTTACCTATCAATAATATTTAAAAGTCTAGTGAAAGGATGTGTGATTATATTTTGAATACTTTCTGAGAGCATCAAATAATATACATACGGTAATGAGTAATATTATAAATGTATCCTTGATGATTACAAAACTAGCACAATTAGTTTATGGTCATTGCCAATACAATTGGATCGTTCTCACTCACATTGACCGTGATAAACTTCTTTATTCCGTAATAAGGCTTCTTTTTATATTGGCTTATCGTACCCACCGCATCTTATCCCTGAGCACATCATACATTATAAACGTATGACTAATTCAAGCTGCTACTACACAAATATTCAGAATTTATTATCTACTTATTTATCTTTAATAATTATTATGACACAATCAATTTTAACAATCTGACGAGGTAAATTCAATTATACGAAAGTGATCATATCAAATAAAAATGATAAAAGGTTTTCCTTTAGCTTATAATTAACGATGTAGATACCGTCGAGTAAACCCTTTTCCCTTCTTTATTCTTAACAAATAAAATACACCTATCAAAGAGGGTTAAATTAATGAATGAAGCTGCCTGAATAGAATCACGGTTCCTTATAGAATTTCTAAACGTTTGCTGATGTGGGCAAATGTGAAAGCCGTTGTGAGTGAGAGCCCCGTTTCTCGAAAACTACAAGCTTTGCGATTCGTGGTTATAATAATAAATATTTATTTTCCAAATTATTCTTATAGTTTTTATATGTTACAGAATTTCAGCGTGTAGAAATTTGTACGGAACCTCTCGAACTTGTCCTGTTTTTTGATCAATCACGTCTGTTATTTATGAAAATCGACCATTAATGGAGAGAAATAATCAAAAATATATAGATCGCCTACTTTCATGTTGGGTAAATGGTAAGGATGCCGGGTACTAACGGTTACAGGGATTTGACAATATGCCCTTATTTCATGTGTTGTAATATGAAAAATACCAGAGTAATGTAATTAATGCCTTTTTTAGACTTACTCTTATATAATAATAAATTACCACTTACTTCCTCATTACCACTACCAAAGCAGCAACTACCTACGTTGATATTACCTGAATTGGGGTTCAGCGCGCGTAAAGAATTCATAAAATACGTCATTTTGAATTTTGGGGAGATAAATAAAACAATAAAAAAAAAAATCTGAGCGCGTCTGAAGAAACTTTTTAAATGTCAATGTCATATTTTTCTCAACGATAGTGATATATTGTTGACGTGGCCATAATACATGAAATGCTTACAATGTCAAAGGTAGGCAAGTGTTTGGTCACCATGCAGTCTATGATTGTGACGAGAATACGCGTGTGATAATCGTGGACCACGTTCACAACAATGTATAGGTATAGATGTTGTACATAACCGAAGTACACATTCGACAAGAGTCCCAGCCGTATGGTATACACGATTATTTATATTATTTATAGAAGGAGGATAAAAACAACAATTAACACGGTCGGTCACGTGTCGCGGACGGCACACCACCGGGTGTCACTTTACACAGTCTAATTGTTGGTTTAACTGATATGGGGTATCAACTGTTTATAGAATGACAATAAAGAAGACAATGATAACAGCATGTGTACCAAGACTGCGAACAATAATACTTTGATATTTTTACAGGAGCGTACTTAAAGTTACCTTTATGTATACTAAGTATTATCATAATTTATTATAGCATTTTGCGTACGAATGTGCCTATCGTACGCAAAATGCTATAATAAATTATGATAATTATTGATTTAGTACGGCTTTAAAGTGTTAGTAGTGTTTTTGTATGTAAAATGTTGTAAGTGTAAGTAAGTTATCATAGGTATAAAAGGGCTTGGTGTGCATTTTTGAATTAATATTACTTGAAATTAAACCTTCTGCGTGAATCCGACTCGTTCTCGGTTGTTTTTTAAATATTTAAGACGTTTCAGAAGGTGGTATAAATGTAGTAAACTGCGTGGTAAGAAACAAGAAAAAGGCAACTGTAATAACAGACCAATGCGTAAGATATTTTTAAGTATTGATAAGGTACAACCTACATTTTTATTTATTTTCAAGTAAATATTTAATTAGATTTTTTATTTATTACCTAGTCATTAAGAAGAGTACAAAACTATACATTATACGTGAAATACTGTGTACTTGTGACTGTTTACGTAATGAGCCCGACACGTTATATCTACTTATCCAACAGTAGCATATGAGGTGTGGGAGAACGAGACAGCAATATATGTACATCACGCGCATTAAACACAGCTGATAACGAATGGCGATGCCAAATATGTAATTAATTCTAATTGTTAACATAATAACAACACACACAAGTAAACGCAAACACTCTGCCGAAGCTATGAGGTTGTTTCATATTCTAATATTAATTAGTTCAACTGATTATAGATGTTGGTGTAAAACAAGCGAAATAATAGTTATATATATATTAATTTTATTGCTGGCTTTTATTTTTAAAGAGTTTCCATTTGCGTGACTCGGAGTATTAAAACTAACAATTGAATTATTACTCATTTCTTTTCGATCGGTTGTCCTGAGACAGGAAAATATATTATGATTATGAGAAGAATAAAAACAGGTGAAATTTAGGAGTAACCTTTTGCTATCGGGAAATCTATTAATCCACATTTTGAATGTAATAAAACCCTTATAGTTTCCCATTTTTAATAAAAACATATTTTGATTTTATTTCTTAGTACAGAACCAATCGAAAGATAGCCATTCCCGCCACCGCTAGTAAATACTATATATTATTAACAGTATTTTCACGTACAACTAGTCGGGACAGTGAATTGTAATTCCATACTCGTCACACGCAGATACAAATAAGGTACTAAGGATGAACATGCGGTGAATATACCTTTAGGGCCAAAGGAAATGTATACTTAATCATATTAGAATATTCAACCACAGCGTATGAAGGACAGGAGCAAGCATCCCGATGCTTTTTATCGCCCTGCCTTTGTAAATGTTTTGTATAAAGTAACCAGAAATAAATTTCTCATTACATAGTTCTAGTAACATATAATCGGTTTAATTAACTTTTTCAGCGTCTGCCTGTACAGTAATTAGTCAATCGTTCTAGATCAACAGACGAGTTTTTAATTTCACGTCCTTGATGAATATGGTGGCCTCTTCGACCGTGCCGTCATCTAGAGCGTTTACTTTTGTGTGTATCGTTCATTAGTCACAATGCTCAAACACACGTGAAACTCGCTATCACAGATATTTTTCCACAGTCGCACATCGACTGAGTAAACATTAGCCGTGGTTAATTCGTTGTTTTCATATCGGGCGCACGTAAAAACGTTTATTTGCTCACGGCCGCAATATAAATATATTCTTTTATTATGTGTCCTCATCACTGTTATAATTGTTGAACTGGCTGATAATGTCTAGATCCTGACATCAAACATATATGTGTCAATTTAAAGTTGTGACGCAGAGGGCCTTCGTTATCTTTGTTTGTTGATAATTTGCCTTATTTTGTTCTAAGACTATTCCGTAGGCACGACACGTTGCAGACGATTTGATAGCTCGGACCTCTCTGCCTCCCCGGGGGCCCTCCACTAATTCGATCAAATTGAATCTAATGTACTCAATACAATTGCAGTTTCCGCTTCATAAGATTAGTTTACACTACACCGACTTCAAACTCAAACATCAAAACAACACCAATGAATGTACGCGGTCTATCTCCTGGTCGTTCATACTACATCATATCATTATTGGTTGGATGTCCGATATTTCGGCGTTGGGTGTCGTGATGATGATCACGAATAACTGAAGTCTTGCGGGTGGATGTTATTCGTATACATATCGATCTAACCTCATTAGAGCCCTCTTACGTATACGATGTACGGTATGGATGGGATACGTGTATTGAACGTAAGAGAACTCGAAAGATCTGGTATGTCGATATATCTGCCAGTTACGAGAAGTCCAAGCTATCAAATCGCCTGCAACGTGACAAGACACGATGAAGGTCATTAACACTAAAACGATAGTTTTACACGGGATTTTTACCGTGTAAAACTATCGTTCTAGTGTTAATGACCTTCATCGTCATTATTATTATATCAATTTAAATGAAACAACTCTAATTAATTTAATCGCATGCTGTATTACAGCAGTCCCTGTCATTATCCTACTGTTTGTATAGTCGTGGTAATAATAACATGCACGCGACAGTTTTAATTAGATTCTTTGTTGTACTGGCATCCGCGTTCATTTTAAGGATATTTTCTCCCACATCATTCTGAGTTGTATGTGAGAAATTTCATATTAATGGATCAAATGTCTTTAGGATTTTAACGAGTTAAGATAATTTAAGTTTACGATTTTATTTGCCGTGGAGGAGTTGTCAAATAACGAAACAAGAATTCACACGAACCGAGAATCAAACGTGACTTAGCCATATTTCGTACTCGTAACCATTCGCTGTCGGTTATAAATAATATCAGTCGTTTGGTCCGCGAAAGTTTACGGATTCCAATTTAATCTTGGGCACCTTAGACTCACGGGACGGTTGATTTTTTTTAAAGTATCCCTTACATAAGGAAAATAATATTAATAATACATGTTTAATTTATCAAATGCAGTACAAGAATTAACATATTCATGTTATGTTAGAACAGCCTTGGATTTTCTCTACCTATCGCCGTCTATTCTGCAGTTGTGTATGTACAATGTATAATTTATTCAGGTGGACGGGATAGTAGCTTCATTAAACTTCACTCGCAAGGGGCGGAAACAGAGAACATTTCCCACGGTCAACGGTCGAAGCGTGGCCCCACTGTATTGGGAAATCAATAAATGTCAAACGTGGACTAAAAACATACCTTTAAAGTTAACTTATTTGGCACATTCAAATATGTATATGTTTGAAGTTGCGCCCACACGGCCGTATTGTTCGCGCCATTACAAGAATGTGCGAAATATTATGGGTTAGGTAAGTTTTATTTCAAAACCGGCTTTTTGTATCTGTTCGAGAAAAATCTATCCCTAGCATAGCACTTTAGTCAAAGTTTATGTTTAACTTTACGATATATTAAAATAACATGCGTGCAGGGTGAGTGAACTACTCAATCGCGTAAGTATGGAATAAGATGGCGGATGAAGGAGAGTGAGACACCAATCAAATTCGAATCGGTAACTCGATATTTCCAAATTCAAATAAACTTATAAAATGTACTTTATAGTCGTGTGGTAAACTTGCACCACCCTTTTAGTCGCCTCCCTAATCGTATACGTCAACGCCATTAAATGGCTTTACACAAATACTACACGAATTCACATGTACACAAACGCGATCGAGTTAGGTACTCACACTTGGGAACTCTATTAAGTATGTATTTTGAATTTTGCGTGTGACTCAATGTTTGCAGCTGCTCTGCATCCCATGTCCTCGATCTTGGACACAACAAAGCAAGGGAGAGTGCAGCTGGCTTACGTGTGCGTGAACAATGGCGATTACCATATGGAACAGGGGATGGATTGTACCAGCGCGGTTATACAGACACATTGAGTCAGTTTCAAGAAAGTCGACTTATTACAAAGACAATAAGAGTCAAACTTCCATAGTGAAATTAATAATACTAGACGACCTTCGAAATAAGTTAGTTGAACATGAATGGAGACTATAGTCGCACGGCAACAGTCGTCGCTGAAGCTTACACAAAAATATCAACATTATAAAATCATAGCCACGTTATCGATTACTCATTATCGATAAAGATGAATTTCTAGTTTTTTTTAATGGGTTTTAGTACGTTATAATACCTAATGTAAAAGATATTGTACGATCGAATCGTTCATTACTGTAGCATTGGCAATATTCCATATGTAGGTATGTTACGGAATTGTACCTACACTCAGATAAGCTTAGCTCCAGATAATAAACGAGGTAAAGTGGATTTTAAAAGCGTTTTTCATCAAGTATATTTTCCAGCATAGCACTGTGAATGCCAATGTCCAATATAATAATAACATGAGGTAAATTAACAAAAAACGGTACCTACGATTTTAATGAGGCGACGATATGTGTACGTACTTACCTATAATAATATATATCGGAACATTTTCCTGCAGAAGTAGCACCAAACGGCCCGAACACGAAATATCTATAGTAACTTTATTTGATAGCACAAACATGGCGCATGCACTTACCGTCTGCGTCAACTTCGTTGATCATGTCTTGAAGCTCTGCTTCTGTGGGGTTCTGTCCTAGGGATCTCATGACGGTGCCCAACTCTTTGGTCGTGATGGTGCCATCGCCGTCTTTGTCGAACAATGAGAACGCCTCCTTGAATTCGGCGATCTGTTCTTCTGTCAGCTGATCCGCCTGGAAAGCAAATATGTAGACTTTAAAATATTATCAATTGACCGTATATCGAATTTCATAGAGTAATTTATATTCGAAGTGGCCCACGCCCAAAGACAGTATACAGATGGCGTCAAACAAGAAACTAAGATAATATAATATAAAAAAAAAATTAGCATACACTGGTGACAACCATCTTGTTGTAATATTTGAAATGGAAGAGCTGCAGACGGAATGCGAGCAATAATGTGAGCTCTATCGTACGTGATAAGATTGCGTATAGATTATATGTAATTAACGCTGTTTGGCCTTCCGCCACGTCACACTGCGGTCTTACGGGCCGATAGTGGAATACTGCATTACAATTAAATATATCAATTGATATCTGCTGATAACAGACGATGTTTCATAATGTTATTACGGTATGTGCGATATCGGTCGATGAGTTTTATAAATCCTATTTCTATGTAGGTACAATAAAATAATCAGTCTCCTATACAGAATAGAATAAGGAGAGCACTCCGAATCGTAAGATGATATGGAATTTATGATAATAGAACTAATTACGGATTTTAATGTAGTGACATTTATCGGACTTTAATATTTTATATTGAACAAAAACACAGAATCCCAAGGCAAAGATAATTCTATTAATTCTCAAATCTTTTTCCTTGATAAAAAAGATATTATAAACAGGTTTTAATACCTTATTTAATAACAATTGCAAAAAAAGAAATATGTAAATCAGTGGAGTTCAACTGTTATAAAACAGATTTATACATTTTTGGCATGAATAATGAATTATTATTATTATACTCAACTAGCTGGTCACCTAGCTTGACACAGGTACACAGTGTACTTTGTTTTTTTGATTGTTTCCATATAAGTTTTTGATTTTATTTTATACAAACCTTGTCCTGATAGTAATGAATACAAAAATGATTAATTTTATTTGCTCTGAAGTTGTATGTACACACAACTTCAGCAATTTCTTTGACTTATATAGATAGGTACTTTCAATAGTCTACTGGAGATTTCATACATCAAAATTAAAAGCAAAATAAATCTCACATCAAATTGTCAATTTAAACAAGAACAAGACAAATGTTTCATTGAAATTTCTTAATGTATTCTGTAGCTTAAAACCGGTTAAATTACTCAATTGGTTATGTCCATGAACAATATATTATTATGCAAATGAAAGATAATTTTAAGTTTAATAATCGCATTTTGAAGGCTTCAAGTGAAAAATGTGTTGTAAGGCTAGCTTAATTTATTAAAATTAGACTCAAATGCTTCATACATTGTTCTAAGACTTTTGTAAGTATAAAATATGTTTTGAATAATAACTTCCTAGTATTATATTATCATATATAAATATTGGTCTACCAATGAGCAGTGGTGAAGGTGTTATGATGTTAATGACCCGATGTCACGTAAAATGAAATTAGATTATAAACTTTTATCTATAGTGAAATATTTAAGAACAATAAAACTCTAATAACTAATTAGTTTCAAATGTATATAGTATTGATTAATAAAGATACTACAATAACTAGAGAGCACAGCTTTAATTTTTTATTAATTTGTAAAAAAAAGGATTACACTGGTTTAATACTTTTGACACTTAAAGGTAGCAAATAAAAAAATGTGATATGTTAAGCAGCTATAAACAATTTGTTTTGAGATTGTATCTGTTAAATGAAGACACAGTTTCACTTTTAAAATCAGTCTTAATTTCCTTTTATACTAAGAAAAAGACATAATGTTGAACACTTAAAGTAGATTGGAGTCTTCTAGTATTGACCACCACCTAATATCGGATGTTTCAAGAAAATAGAACATATATAAGACAACTTCTGGTAATTATTTTAAATAATTCAGTCCATACTTTGTTTCTTACTTTTTATTAAGAATTTTAATTGTTAAAAATGAACAGGAATAAAAGAAGATTAATTAAAGTTACAAAAGTTGACTATTATCTTATTTAAAAATATAAAACCTTATATTTTTTCTTTTTGTAGTTTTATGGTGTTGTGGTACCTTCGTTGTCTCAGATACTCCATAATACGGGGGCTTTAGCTACTCATCTTGGAATCTGAGCAATGTATGTGATGTCATTAAATATTTTAAATATTTACCTTAATTCTCCTTTGAGTCAGTATGCCAATATCAGGGTTACATGCGACAGTTGTTAGGGTGTAATAGGTAGACATTAAGAAAAATCTGCTTACTCATAAAAAAAAACACTGATATTATCAAAATCAACAAAGGATTTGTAATTTTGCAAAGTTAATAATGAAATTTCTGTATACCATTACTCAAAAAAAGGCAGTATAAGAAAGCCAAAGCTATAAAACTTACAAGTAGTCAAACATCAAAAAAGTTAACATGGCCAATAATCAATACTCCACCCTATTTGTACAAATATTTTCATCACACAATTATTTGTTTTATTAACATTGTCAATAACTAAATTTAGAGAATTTAGAATTCTATTATGAAGAAACACATTAAGGACATACGGATGCATATTAGATAGATAAACGTTTTATTGATGATTTCATTTTCTGACCTATGTGATCACCAAATAAGATATTACTGGTTCTCTGTAGACTAGATTGCCTTGAAAATGACACCTAGCAATGTGTAGTGAATAGGTTATCGAGATAGCAAATAACGAGTGCATCCAGATCGTAGGCATGTCGCAAGACCTGTATTTACATTTCACGGTGACAACTCGTAGACATTTGAAACGTAAATAGTGACCGGCGTCCCGGCCCCACTGACCAGTACATTTTACCAATCAAATTTTTCACTTTACCCTAGCCATGTAAATTTCCGGTAGCGTTGAAGGCTGCAACGGTCCGTCAAAATGAATTACGTATGAAAAATATCGCCTAATGCGATGAGTCAACGGGCGTTTGACAGTTGAGCCGGGTCGATCGATCCACCGTCAACAGGGCGCGACACCTGGCTAACTCGAAACGCACAAAACCACTTGTTCCGCATGTTCGTTTGTCAAACGCCATTTTACAGCGTAGCTAATGGACCGGCTTTGACTAAAACGTCATTTAACCGGCACCACCTATGAAACTATGGCGACGGATGTTTCTCGAGCCCCTATTTCGCAATGTTCGAAGGCATCGATGAACTTATTAGATTTTCCCTTTCTCAGCAGTCACTGAACGCTCCCATCGTCCTGACTTATACGGTGTCATCGTTCCGCATTGCGGTAAAAAACGGCCATCACAATAATATAATGGAGGCCGTCATCACTATAAACACCGATGCACTATATTTCCGAAATACGCCCTGTAAATAATGGGGGACGATCCCTTAAATACACTCCCGACACCTTTTTACGGAAATAACACTCACCATTGTAGATTAACTTGGATTATCTGGAGCTACACTAAAAAATCACAGACTACGCCGCAAAAGCGACCACACGGACCGACGGTTGAAACGATACTGCCGCCCTCACTCGCAGAGCGGCCGCGCCGGGAAACTCGCGACCGCGATTCGTCGAGCTCGCGAGCGAACCGTTCCGAATCGTCGTCTCGATTCACCGCAATTTCATATCCATTCGTCGATTCTCGATACACTTCACAATGCGCTATACGATTTTTCAGACGCGTATGTCTCGAACGTCGTAGTCCATGTCTCGGGACGCACAGCACGGGATTACATTTAATCCGCAAAGGATAGTCGGTTTTATATTGGGCGGGTGCGGCGGCGTGGACCGTGGGTCGGCGCGCGCCGATTGGCCGACGCGCACCTGCAATGCGTCACTGCGGGAGCGGGCGCGAGTGGCGGCCGGCGGCGGCGCGGCATCGCCGGCGGCCGCATGCTGCGCCCGCTCACCCGGTGCCCTAGTTCCGGCCGGCGGGCGAGGGCCGCAGTGCCCGCGCTAACGAGATAACAACGGGTGATGGCGGGCTTCTCACCACGCACGCCGCGCCGCGCCCGCTCCGTCTGCCTGCATGCCCCGTCCCGCCGCTGCCGTCGTCGTCGCCGCAACATAAACGCAAACGCCACTGTCTGTCCCTATAACATTACCATATCTGATACTGGATAGCTTATAACGAATAATAACATGTTGCTATAATTCATGGTATGGTGTAACTTATTTCTAGGTATAACAGCATTTTATTGCAACCAAGTAGATAAATTAATTCTAAACTAAAAGTAACGGATTTCATATGTCTAGCTTACAAAATGAAGCCTAGTCGTTTAATTTAAAAATCTATCTCAATCCATTTCATTTTGACACGTGAAAGTTATTCACGATCACCAACTCCACGCTACAACTATTTGACATGTATAGCATTGCATTGCGATCGCTACTTTTTTTGTAAGGTTTTGGATGAACAATGTCGTTAATTTGATGTTAAATAGAATTGTCTAATCTAAGGCAATCGTTACATGCAAATTTTACTTTAAATGTTATTAACAAATGTCATATGAAAGAGTCGAACGCTAGCTGCGAAGGATTCGTTCCAAAAGCGATTGCAATCACAAGATGTCGCTCTCGCAAAGCGCGGGAAGTAAGTGAAGTTTTGAACTCCAGATAAACGGAAAGCTAGTGACAAAAATGTGCAAATGCTACAGAAACATACCAAGATAATAGCTATAAAAAATTATTTCTGTGGCAAGAGCTTTCGAAAACTTAATTTTTCAGCATGTTGAAGTACTAATACATACATCACTCAATACCCAGTGCGGAGGTAAGGCGCTAGAACAACTGGCACTATGGGCCAAAACCGTGCGCACCGTCTCTAAAATCTGTAACTTTGTTACTAATTCAAATAATTAATTGAAATTTTGCACATGGTATCTCTAATGTATAGAGAATCAAATAATAACATGTGTATTATTTATATATTAAGTTACAATTTTTCATAAAATTATAACTTTCATTATTTATTTAATTGTTACCTAATTACTATTATCTTAAATTTGCTATCTTAAAAAACCTTTTAAAATTGCTTTAAATTTTTATTTATTTTATTTTTAAGATATTTAGATTGCGTACCCAAAGGGTAGAAACAGGATTCTTTACTAAGACTACGCTGTTCGTTAGTCTATCACTGGCTGTATCTCATGAACTGTGATAGTCTCTTGGTTTATTTTTCACGGATGATATATATGTAACTATTTACTTTTATTACTATAACAGCAAATACTAAAACTGAATAAAATAAATATTAAATTCCCAAATAAAACGTAATTTTTTTGCTTATTTTCCGTACGGAACCCTTTTCCACGAATCCGACTCGCACCTGGCTGGTTTTCTTTTTATTTTTATATTTAAAAGCGATAAATGACGAATATAATGTATATAAATCTACTAACTAAGGAAATGATGTTAGAGAAATGTTTGTGATTAATTATTTAAATATCTAACGCTTGTTAGATATTATAGCTTGCTCTAAAAGTTCCTTAAAATTAGTGACTGCTGATGATTTGATACTTGACATAGATACGGACCTGATGTTAATGCAACACAATGAAAAACTTATTCATTGGTGGCAGTTCTAGAACATTTTTTCAATGTTTATCAGTATACAGGTAATTCATACAACGATCATAGGATATTTATCATTTCAGACCATAACATGAAAATAAAAAATAATTATTTTGTCTATTTTATCACTCAACATAAACCAACTTTTAAGTTACAGGTATGTAGTGTTGTTTAGTCATATAATATAAAAAAAAAATATCATAATTCTCGTCACAGAATTAAATATTAAAGTAATGTTTGTTTTTATTTGGCTCAACGAAACATTTAGTCATCTCATGTTAAAGGGGTAAAAATTCCGGCACTGAAAAAATGCCACATTTACTACGTAATGTTTTCTATAAGACATAAGTTTAGTAACGACACAGGTAGATATTGCTAACTGTCAAAATTCTATTCAAAGTTTCAAGTGGCGTAAAAATATAGTTACTCAAAAAAAAGAACCTTTCTTGTTACCACATAATGAAGCGGGTCTATATTTTTTTGAAAAAACTATTTAGTTACCTTTCCAACCATATATCACAATTATCCAACTACTTCATTTACTTAAAAAGTTATTATGAAAATTATGATGTGAACTCGTGGAACTTTTTTTACATAATCAACATTATGTTAAGAAGTCATTTCAAGGCAAAAGAATATTTAGAAAAAAAAAATATAATGTTCTATATAAATTTTGCCAAAAGATATATTGACATTTGGTAAGATGTTTACAATAAAAAATATGAGAAATCGAACTTTCGTAAAAAATATTTTTGAGACGGAGCGCACGGCTATGGTCCATAGTGCGGCGGCGCGAAGCAAACTTCTAGCGATTGTTGAATGTTTTTGTTTCATTAAATGAAAGTGTAAATTTTTTTTTTATCACAGAATTACTTATCTATAATTTAGTAATAAATTAATTTTCAACATTCACTATTCTCTTTTTCGGAACTCATTTTCACACCAACATTTAAGATCTGCTGAGTCGCCGGCATATGATTATGCAATGTGAGCAGTTTATACTCCCTTTTTATTTATATTTAGAGTGAGTTTTCCGCAAATTTTGTATTATTCAAAAGCATCTTTAATATGTGTAAAGATTTTTCGTGCTTTACATTGCCCGCCGCCACCAGACGCCATATGTTCCAGCACTGACTACCGCACTGGGCACTTATCGAGTGACGTATACCCTTAGTACTTCAACATTCTGAAATAATAGCTTTTATAAGCTCTTGCACACATTTGTCATACTAACCTAACCTAACCTACCTATATGAGGTTACCTACAATATGCAGTAGACATCTCCATCGTTCGTCGCGAACTTGATTAATGACATTGGTGTCCTAGCCTGTGTGTTTCTAAGTGTTTTTATAATTTTCAAAAATTAACAAAAGGGCTCATTATTTGGTTTTTATATCTATTATTCTTAATAAATCCATTATTATTTAAAAAAATGTCATCTAAGTACACAAAATTGTTACAAAGAGGGGTGAAACATAATAAAAAGAAACAACTGAAAAGAGAAATAAAACAACAACAAAAAAACTGTATAAAAATCGAACCTTATAAAGTGGATAAGCCAACAGCTTTTTTTTACACCGCAAATAGACCTGGATGAATAAAAAACGAGATAGAATTCATATCGTCAACAAAACAGCAAGTAAACATACAATAATGTCTTTGTGATCAAAATATAAACTCTAACTCATAAATATGGCACACGTAAGGAGGCTACAGAACTAACATGAAATTTAGTTAACCAAAACTGTCAACATATTAGACAAACATTCTGAACAACACTCTTCTGTTTGCAAGGCTATTCAATTAGTTTGCTAATGAATTACTGTATAGTGGTGTCCAATTAGCAGGGCGTGGCGTGTGGCGTGTGGCGTGTGGCGCGGTGGCGCGGTGGCGTGGAGTGCGTGTCGACGCCGCACTAATCACCCATTCAACATCACGCGGACCGTGGTCTGCTTGCTTTTGTCATTTGTTCCATTTTTTAACATTACGTTAGTGTACAGTTGATTATTAAATCAACTTGTTTAATACGTAACGAGTATAGGTACATGTATCTTGTCATTCTTCGTTTCGAATGTTTAAAAAGTAAGTTATAATCAATGGCGGTGGCGGATTTAAGCTAAGGCCATAGTACGTCCGGGTCCAGGGCGGTAATATCACATTGTATATTGTGTGTAAAAGCTTAATGATAAAACATCCGTTACAGGTACACTGAGCTGAGATAAGAATGGAAATAAAACAGCTGTTATTTTCTATATTTCAAAGTATTTTCATAGGCTGATATCTGTATTACAGTCGTCATACCCAGACTCAGATGTTTATTGTGTCAGATGCATTACAATCCCATTGTAGGCGTGCCTATTCTACACTGACATATACCAAAAGATGTTAGCGATGAGAAATCATTTATTTAATTACGATACAAATACAACTTATTTTTAGATCTGTTTCAATTAACGTCATGAAAGTAAAATTATGCAGTGTCTTAAATATGAGATCTTAAAAAGGGACGGTCAGTATTACATGTCCTAGGGCAGCCATCCCTGCAAATCCGAATCCGGTCAATGGTGTATTTTGAGTACCCATCGCCGCCTTTGACATTGACCTACCTGCGGGTCTACTTAACTAACTGAACTTTATACACATGATATGAACTTCAAAACTGATGCAAATTTAATGTTCTTAAAGATGAAGGAGGAGAAGATTGTGTGCAACTGCATAGTGATAAGTTCCGTTTGCAAAATATGAGAATGATTATTTTTTTACTTAGTCGTAAACACTATTGTAAAACACTATGCTCACAATGCTATACTGTAAGATATTCTTAATTAAAAGTCGAAAAGTAGTCGAACCTACGATACGACTATGCGCTTTGTAGTAGCGAAAAAGTAACAAGTGCTTGAAAGATTCATCAGTCCTGTTAAGTCCTGGGTAGCTCAGTGGTTAGAGCAGTCGCCTGGGTTGCGAAAAGTCATGGGTTCAAGTCCCATCTCAGAGTGCCAGGGACGGGGTGGATTTTTTTTGGCATTTATCATTAAGAAATACATCCATTTTCATGTTAGTGGTTTTGTGGTTACCAACTTTGTTCAGGTTTCGCTTTAATGACAGTTCAAGGTTCAAAGCAGCCATTAGCTACAGAAAATCAATCAAAACTAATTTGATGATTTAAACTACACTTACACCCAATTTCTTCTTGAATTGAAAATAAAGTACGTCACAAACTGTAGTCAAGCAACTTTCGTAAGGGTCGGGTGACCAAAAAATTTGT